TTGTTGATGTTGTTGTTGTTGTTATGTGCCGTGGAGTCGGTTCCGACTCATAGCGAACCTGCACAGGGTTTCCGAGGCTGTTAATCTTTACGGGAGCAGAACGCCTCATCTTTCTCCCGCGGAACCGCTGGTAGTTTCGAACTGCTGACCTTATGGTTTGCAGCCCGATTCGTAACCACTACGCTACCAGTTGATAGCTGCCATCAAATTGGTTCCAACGCACAGTGTGACCTTTTATGTAATAAAACGAAACAGCACTCAGAGCTGCACCATTCTCACGATGTTTGAGCCCACTGTTGCAGCCACTGTGTCAATCCATCTCCTTAAGGGTCTTCCTCTTTTTCACTGACCCTCCACTTTACAAAGCATGATGTCCTTCTCCAGGGACTGGCCTCTCCTGATATATGTCCAAAGTACATGAGATGAAGTCTATGTAGTTTGGAATGTCTAATGGACATGTTAACCTCCACATGTACCAACTCTTGATCGCTCCTAGATCCTGCATTCTGAGTTCAGTAAGCAGTCCCACTGCTGACCTATACTCCCCATGAAAACTAACTCATCTTTGAGTTTCTCTCTTCATGTCCAGAACATTAGCATATCTGATCAGCTTATCATCAAAATTTATTATGAAACTGATCATCTCCACCTCTTCCACCATTTTACTGAGTCTAAGCCACCACTGACTGTTGCATGGTCTATCCTAGCAACCTTCCAACTGGTTTCCCTGCTCTCCCTCTTACCCATCCTTGGTCTAGCCATCACCTGGCCACCTCACTAGTCCTTTAAAAATGTGAATCAACTTCTAACCTTGCAGTGCTGTTCCCTTACACTTAGAAGAAAATCTGGTTCCTTTCAACCTCATTGCCCACTACCTTAGCCTCCTTACACTTCCTGGGATGCCTCCAGTAGTCTCAGCTCATGGTTCAATTCTTGCTGTTACCTCTTCCCTCTTCCCTCTGGGATTTCTTCCTTTACCTCCTTCAGGTCTGTTCAAATGTCATTCCTCAGAGGTCAATGCAACCATTCTCTCTAAACACAGCACCCCTCCTCATTCCTCTGCTTAACTTCTTCAAAGCTTATGACATGACCTGAGATCACTAGAATGGAAAGTCAAAGAAAGAAGAAACTTAATCTGTTTTGTCCTGCTTTTAACCCTAGCCCCAGAACAGTGCCTGAGCATGGTGAATGATAAAGTCTTTGTTGAATGAATCAATGAATATTGGAATGAGTGCCAACTGGAATATCACCTCCTACCACAAAAAATGTATCACTCAATGGTCATGGAAGCACTGATGCTACTAGTAGCTGGCAGTGTGTGAGCAGTGGTCTAGGGCCCTTGGTCAGGGAAGCTGGGGAAGGAAGACAAGTGCTGGGAAGGTCTGGATGAGCCATGTAGGGGATTAAGGTCTCTTCTGACTCCTGTTTTTTCTCTGGGTCTGAATGAGAGGAAGTGGCTCACTAAGGCCTAAGGCCAGATGCACAGCAGGACTTCCCAGCAGGAAGGTGGTTGCTGCAGGAGGAGATCTGGAACTCTGAGAGCAGGCATTTGCCATGGTAATTCTCTTACTTCACTGAATTCACAGGGAGGCCATACCAGCTTCAGAACCAGACACACCTGTGTTCAAGTCTGGTACCCCATGCTATAGTGCACTGGGTAGGGTGTTAGGAAGGCTGCAGGCTTTGAAATCAGAGACATTCGGGCTCAAACTCTGGGCCTACTACTTTCTGTCTGTCTGACTTCACTGAGCCTTGGTTGTTTTTTGCATGGAGAGAGACTCTCTGCCAAGCTCTTCCTAAACTGGGTCCAGCAGGCACCATTTCCCCCTCCTGGGTGAGTCTCTGGCCAGTTTGCACCCACTCTACACTTTAATTTCCTGGGTGGCACAAATGGTATTTGCCTTCTGCTGAGTCTGGAAGGATGAGAGGTTGGACCATGGCCTACAAACTGCACAAAAGCACTCTTTTTTTTCTTAGAAAAAGACCCAAAGAGCATGATTAAAATAGCCAGATGTGCAGCATTATAAAGGTTACCTCCTTTTCTTTACTGTTGAGAGAAAGCAGTGGTGTGGCTTCAAGTCTCTCAGAAGATGGTCTCAGTGGTGTTTGGTGCAGGCTGATAGAGAGTGACTATTGGGGGTCAGGGCCAGAGGAAAGCTAGCCAGAAATCAACAATAGCTGCCATCCCCACCCCTAGTGGAGAGGGACCTAACTTCTCCTTGGGGGAGGCGGATGCAGGCAGCTGCAGATGGAGAGAGATTTGAAGACTGTGCTCCACTGGGCTTGAAATTTCAAATCATGGCTACTCCTTGGGGCAAGAAGTTTTTCAATGTATGTTTACTCATGAACCCTTCTGAGAATTTGGTTATACGCTATGGATCTTCTCCAGAAAAATGCTCTAAACCACATGCACACAACATTTTGCCCATCCATCATGTCAAAGGGTGCCCAGACCTACTGGGATCTCTAAGTTCAGTCTTGTGGCCTTGGGGGGCAGGGAAGACTCAGGGAAGCTCAGGAAGTAAAAAGGTGCTGAAGGGGAGCAAGGCAGTAGTTAACAAGATGATAAACCAAAAGATTACACAGTTCTTTATTCTTTGCCTGGAGGTAGCTGTTGATGGAGAAATAAAGCTAAACTTGGCAAGAAGCCCACCACCATGTAAGACACTAACAAGTCTCCAAGTAGAAGGATAAGGAAAAGAGCTGGGGGGGGGGGGGCAGAAGGACTGTCCCTTTTTGCTTTGGAAAAAAACCAAACAACCTAAACCTAGTTAACTGAGATTTGGCTCTGTTATCTCAGCTGGTCTGTCTTCGACACTTTTCTAACTCTTCTTCCAAGACCCAGCTCCCAGTATGCACCCTGAGGCCAAACCCTGCAGAGGTCTCTTGGAAGGGAGCAGTGATAAATAATGATGGTCATTAAGATTAGTTGGAAGAGCAAGGGAATCTACCAGAAGAAGACCATCTGGGCAAACAAAGTCCCTTAAGTTGTAGAATAAATTCCCCAAGACTTAAAACAACAACAACAACAAAAGAATCCCCAAATGTCTTCTGTAGGGAAAAAAACAAAAACAAAAATCCTGTCATTTTGAAAGTCTGTTTTTTAAAAACAAATCATTAGCTGTTTATCAAAAAGGTGCTGGACTTTTTTTGGATATGGAGAATGAATTGCTCTCTTGCCTTAAGCCAGTCACTAAATAGAACTCAAAAAGACTGGAGACTCCAAAGCAGATAACCTTCTTAGCAGGCTGGGCTTCCTGATAGCTTGTGGTTAGGTTCCCATGCATGGTTCAGCATGGTTCCCAAGAGTGATGGGACTGTTAGAAATAGGTTTACTATGTCAAGTTCCCAGACACACGATTGTTTCCTTTTTTAAACAGTAGCACCTGTGTAGTTCTGGTGTGGCACTTGCAGGATAATGCACTGGACTGCAAGGTCTGTTTAAAACGCAAGGTCAGTGGTTCTAGCATACCAGTCGCTCCTTGGAAACCCTATACAGGGTCACTATGAGTCAGAATGGACTTGATGGTACTTAACAACAACACCTGTGTAGAACAAAGTAGGGTTCTAACAGGGGTAGGTGGGAGGGAGTGAGGTCAGGAAGATGACAGCTCAGGTGAGAAGGAACTGACACATGAGTAAACAGTTGTGTCTCAAGCTCCCTTCTGAACTGAACAAAAACTTTGACCTGTCAACTCTGCTCCTTGCGACAAACACATTCACACAATGCCAGACAATTTCAGCTTTACTGTTAACTAGTAGTCATTTAGTCTGCACTGCCATTGTGGGTTTTTGTTTTTTTTTTAAATAAGACATTTTATAAAGACCCTTTTCATTTCTCCCATCCACTATGTATGACACATTTCAGTTTTACGATCAGGGAATTGGGTTAGAAAATGTCAGAAGTGGGGCAAAGTATCTATATTTCTTGGAATGGTAATGAACAGGTTAGGATTTTAAAACTCAAGTGATCTTATTTGGTAGTCAGAAAAACAAAGTTGATCTCAGTGATGCCTTATTTGGATACTAGTTTTTAACATGTCACTAATGGTTATTAATCAGGCATTTCAAGGGCAATAAATTGTTCCCAAACTACCTTTTTAGACAGTTGCAGGCAAGTATAGTAATGAAAAGAAATGGCACTGGATTGTGAGTCCTGAGATGGGGCTTTGGCCCTGGCTCTGCCCTCAATGGGCAGAAACGTCTCCTTTCTGGGTGGCCTCAGTTTTCTCATCTGTAAAATGAGGGTGGCAGTCCAAATCATCAGAGGTTCTTTCTATTTCTAAGCCTGTAATTCTAAACTCCAGATGGGGGGGTGGGGGGAGAGAGAAGGGAAAGTCACAAATACACTGTGTTTCTTTATGAAGAATCCAAATTCCTAACAGCTTGAGCTTGCCCCTTTCCAAGATGGAAACTCCACAGACCTGGTGGCCTGCCCCTTCTCCTGGGTGTGCTGTCCCTCCCTCTGGTGACTTATTATTACTTTTCCTTTCAGTATAGGTCCTATCCCCTCTACCCGGAGCCTCAGCCCCAGCTCACCTTCTTGAGGAATTCTCCCCACATGAACCCCATTCTGCTCCCTCTTCTTCACGGATCCTTTCAGGAAAGCCAGCTAGCTTTAGCCTGCCAGTACTGACGCTAGTTTAGTGGTACTTCTAACATACTTTTAGTCATTTTCCTGTGGGTGTGTCTTTTCTTCTTCTGCCCCAGGACCCGGCTTCCCTACTCAACAAGGCTCTGTATGTTGGGGGTCAGGTCAGAGGTGGAGGGTGATTATGTGACCAGCCCCTCCTCCCAGCAAGGAGGAGGGCCAGGAAGAGATCACGTGAGATGGTCAAGTAAAGCTTCCTGTTTCCTTCCTGTCTTGTTTAATGATATCCATAAAATGAATGCCTTGGGTAGCAGTCTTGGGTGGAGTTCCATCAGGCATGGCAGGCAGGGGTGGGACTGACAAGCAGGGACCCATGATGTGTGGTAAGTGATGGGTGGGCTCAACCTACCATCCACAGTAACTTGGCAGGAGCACTCAGCCTGGCCGGCACTGGTCTTGGCTACACACTTGTACACGCCTCTGTCCTCGGGCAGGGCCTTCTCAATGGAGACAGAGCAGAGCGAGCCTGGGAAAGAAGAAAAAGTTGTTGAGGAAACCAGGTATGGGGACCCAATCCCTGTCCTGGCACATGGCTGAGTGTGACTCACATGGCAGCCTCAGATAGCACCTAGGACAGAGGTCCTGTGGGAATGAAGCCCCTCTCCCCACCAAAGCCAATGCCCTTTCTACTGATAGTCCACATCCAAATAACTGATGCCCAAATATAGTCCCCTAAAGACAGCCTTCTAATGGGGACTTAATGGAAAGGTACAGAGTCTTGGTTTGGCGCTGTGGGATAATGCACTGGACGGCAAGGTTGGTTTGAACCACAAGGTCGGTGGTTCAAACTCACCAGCCACTCCTTGGAAGCCCTATACAGGGTCGCTATGAGTCGGAACCTACTTGACGGCACTTAACCCCAACAACGACAATTGGAAGGTATAGAAGAAGGGAGAGAAAAGGCCTCTGCCTTTGTACAGCATCTGTCACAATGGAAAGAACAGATGGATACAAGGCTCACCCCCGGGGGTCACCATGACAGACAAAGAGCCAGTCACAAGTTTACAGACCTGTGTTAGCAACAGTGACAGGTGCTTACAGCAGTGACTCTAAGAATGCTTCCTGTGAACAGGAGTTTTGAGCAAAGAGGTGGGTGGTGGATGGCGGGAACCCTTATTACAGGAAGACCTGCTGGGAGGTGAGCGTGACATGTAACCTGGGAGCCCAGAGCTAGGATTTCAGGAAGGGCGTCTGAGCTGAAGAACCATGGCAAGGAGGCATACCTCAGAGCTGCCTCCCTTGAGTGTGGGCCAACTAGTCACCTCAAAGAGGGTGGGGCTGGGGTGGTCTTCTTTCCTCATGGACTCTCATGTGGCTCTACCCTGGCCCCAGCACAGCTGTTCTGTCTTGGCTGAGGGAAGAGGAGTCAGGCTGAACATCCATAGGAGCCTGTGTCTGTTCCTTGCCCTTCCCAGCTGCTCACCCCAGGGCTGGCTACTGGTCCTCTGGGTCCCCCTCAGGGGCTTCCTATCAGGGTGTGAGCAGTGTCTAGCTGAGAACACTGCCCGCTGGGCCAGACAGGAGTCCGTAGTTCTTGCCGCAAGTTACACAAACAAGCCAACCCCTGGCATCCTGCCCAAAGTGGCTCCTATTGTCAGGGCAGCAGCCTATAACACAAAGAGGAGGGCATCTCCAGAGAACCACAGTCACGTGCATCTGGCTGCATGTGGAGCCACTCCACTCCACCTCACCCACCCACTTCACATGACACAGCAGCACTGGGAGGTAGAGTCATGTGCCTCACATGTGTACCCGTGGTCAAAGCATGACCAGAAGAGAGGAGGCTGGGGCCATTCCCTAAAGGATCTGCTGACCTCAAAAAGCACACACTGATGATCACGCCTCATCCCTCAGACAGATCTCAGACGGGACCATCAAGTACATGAGATATTCACAAGAGGAAGGATGCTAGTCGTTTTGCCAAAGAGCTTCACTCAGGTGAGAGAGAAAGTGGAGGTGTACTGGTTCCTTCTACTCTTTGGCTCCTGGGTAATGTTTTACCACCTGGGGCTTCACCTGTCACCTCACCCCACTCAACACTCTTTTACTATCTCTCTCTCTTTTTTTTAAACTATTTCTTATATAAGACACTGGAGTCCTGATGTGGTGCTGTGGGTTAATGCTCTGGACTGCAAAGTCATTTCAACTTCAAGGTTGGTGGTTCAAGCTTACCAAGCTGCTCCTTGGAAACCCTATACAGTGTTGCTATTGGTTGGAATTGACTCAGCGGCACTTAACAACAACAACAACAACATATAAGACACTAAGGAGCTCTGGTAGCATCATGAATTATGAGCTAAGCTGATAACCACAAGGTCAGAAGTTTGAATCTATCAGCTGCTCTGCAGGAGAAAGATGAGGCTTTCTGCTCCCATAAAGATTTACAGCCTTGGAAACCTTACGCAGGGTTGCTGAGTCAGAACCGACTCTATGGCATACCACCACCATAAAAAACCCTACTGCTTGGGCATTATGTTATTTTTATTTTTTAAAACTTTTCTTCTTAATTGAGTGAAGGTTACCAGACAAGATCATCAGCTTTTTGAGAACCTTTTTGAGAGCCCTAACAACAACAATCCCCTCTCCGCAACAACAGTTACCTTGCTTTCTCCCTGTGGCTTCCCTTTGACATCTTATTTTTCACCATCAACAAAGCAAAAAGACTTGATGTACTCATACATAACAAACAAAAAACCCCCATATTCATTTAAATGTCCAAAGGGCACCTTTTGCCTTCAGGCACATAGCCTTTCTCAGTGCATGGGCCTAGAGTCTGCAGCTGCTCTCTCTATGCCATCCCTTACACTCTGGTCTTGGGCATTATGTTCCTTTAAAGATCTTTTATATGACCAAATTGACAATAGTAACTCCAAAGGTTAGGTAGAAAGCTTTAGAGACAGTGAATTTATGTCATGGGGGAGGCTCAACTTGGAAAAGGAGTCTGAGAATGTCATCAGAGTCACTGAATTGAGTATGTAGAAACTGTTGAGTTGGTGGTGTATGTTTGCTGTGTGTATTCTCAACAACAGACCCTACTCCTCACAGAAAGGACTCACCAGGTTCCCCAATGGGTCAGGAGAGAGCATCTGCAGACAGTACATCATGAGGGATTCAGGTTGGATTTTTCGGCAGTTTGTCATGAGAGTGAGACTCAGGCAGAGGACTAGGGGAACGGGGTAACTCACTTCTAGAGAAAGAATTCCCATCCTTCTGGGAGGACAGTTGGATGGTGAGATGATTTCTGTCCCCCAAACTCTTGACTTAGAGGAAACTGACCTATAACTCTGAGAGCAGACATCCCACTCACAGCAAACATCCGGTCCAAACACTGTCTTTTCTTTCAGTTTCAATCACCTAGTTGGCTTTAGCCTTAAGCCGAGGTGATAAAAACTACAAAGATAGCAAGGAGGCTATTAGAAGAGGAACGTTTGGACCACAGCACACCCCATTTCCCACACCCAGTCAAGGGGCCAGCACCAGAGCAGGCAGCTTTCCCAAGCTGCCCAATGCCAGGACCCCTGGCCACAAGCGTGGACTGTGGGAGAGGCCCCAGGCAGCCTTGGAGGCTCAGCTACCCTAAATGAAGAATCAGGCATTTCCTGTGGGATAGCTCCATTCCTGACCTCCAGAAGCAAAACCGTTTCCCAGCATTTTTTTTTTTTTTCTTGAGAAGCCTAACAACAACAACAACAACAGCTTGGTGGGGAATTTTGAGAGGGAGGTGATGGGGGATGGGAGCGGTCACACTAGAACCAAGAACCCTCCTTAAGAGAGCCAGGTTTAATTGCCACAGGGTCTGAGATTGCTCCAGGGCCTGACGTCTCCCAGTCTTCCTTCTGTCCTGTGTGTGATGAGAGGAGAGGAGAAGGAGATGTGGTTGGTGGAGTGTAGCAGTTTGAACTCCTAGAGCCTCTGCTCTGAGGCTGCTCTCAGGCACCTGACCTAGTGCATCTGGTAAGCCCCAGACCACAGTGTGGCTCACCTCTAGATCACCTTCTCAGAGGTGGTACCTTCTATGTCCCCTCTAAGTCCCCAGCTCTAACTGGCCCTTTTCTGTGTTCCCGAGTCTCCTAGAGCTAATCTTTACCAAAGCATTCTTCACAAGGCCACCGCTGCAATACATGTAGTCTCCCACACTTGCTCTCTGGGGACAGCGACGATGTCTGCTGGAATGCAGTCACAGTAAAATAAATATTTGCTATTCTGAGATTGACAATGGCCCGTTTCTATAGCAGGTGATCTGATAGAATCTATGCAAGAAAAGGTCATGGGCACTTAATTGAATACAACCTACTGTTGGAAAAGCTAAGACAAGGGGGCTAGAAAATGTTCATGGACAAATGGAATGGAAAAATAATGGAGTTTTCCCAAGAACTTTTTGAAGCCTCCTCATATAGTTTCTGAAAGGAAAAATAACTTCCAGTTCTCCCTATTGTCTGCAAAAGGAAAAAGTTAACCAGACCTTCAAGTAGAACAAATACAGGGGCTAGACAAGGGACTGGCACATAGAAAATGCTGCATAAAGCCTAGTGTTTTGGAGGATGAACATTTGCTAGTTTTAAAAAATTCTTCACAAGATTCCACACTGAAGGCAATTAAAAATGAATCATGAGTTGACAACAAAAACAACAATGGATCCTCATTATTAGATTGTGAGACACGGTTTGTCATGGAGTGGAGCCCCACTTAGAGACAGGAAATGAGACATTAAAGATAAAATTTCCTCTCGGATAACAGAATGCTAGAGCTGGAGCTCTCCTTGGTTCAAGTAACAGCTGCTTCCCACCACCCAGCTAAGAGTGAGGACTCTAAGACAGCCACACAGCAGATCTGTGTGGACCAGTGGTACTGTCCAACCTGCAGCCTCAACATGTCTGTCTGTCCCTCTAAGAACTAAATGTCAGTGTTGACTGAGGTCATCTCAGTATTCAGGGGGATGGATATCGTCCTGTTGCCGGAAGGGGAGGGCTTGCAGACTACCAGACTACCTAGTCAAACTACAGACATCAGCTAAGTGCCTCAGAAACCGACCGAGAGAGGTTCCACTAGCAGGAGGTGCACAGAGATACACCCATCGGTGCGGAAGGAGGAGAGCACAGTCACTTCTCTGGAGGGAGAGAATCTTGACCTTTGAACAGGTTGACCGCCCCACCCAAGACTCAGTGGAGCCAGTCCATCCAGAGGCTGGTGCTGGATGTAGTTCTTCATCTTTCCTGACAAACCACCTTGAACCACCAGCTACCCTATTTCTATCAATGGCACCCCTAGGATTCCAGTCACTTAGTGGTCTTCCACTCCTTGCACTTCTTCCTCTCCCTCTTCCCTTTCCAAGGATAATTCTCTCCTTGCTTCTGGAACTGGTTATTTCCTCTCTGTTTTCCAAGCCACTCTGTAAGTTCGGGCCTCACCACCTTCCTCCCTCATTAGCTTTCTTATTGATCTGTTGGGCATGGAGCCAATCAAAACCCTAAAACCCAGCTTTATGTGCAGGGCTCCCTATTGTCTGCAAAAGTGAGTTCCTGACTATGATATATGATCAACAAAGGCCCTTGCCTTTCTTTGAAGCTCAATGGCTGGTTCTTCATGTCTCAGAACCTACTGTGAGCAGGTCTACCTTTTATGATGCTAGTCCTTTACCTGAAAAGTCCATGCTCTCCCTCCTCTCCCCTGCTGGTCTAAGTCCTAGCCCACCTTCCTATTAAGGCCTGGCTTTCACTACCAGTTTTCCTGGTGGCCCCAGGACTCAGTCCTCTCTCCTACTTGTGGTACACGTCCTGGTCCTGACTTCACTTACTGACACTTGGCTCATGTAGTTTTATCACTGTGAGTGTGAGTCCTCTCTTTCCAGGTCTACAGAGAGAAGATCCATTCTCACCTCTCAGAGTGTCCTACACCCTGCCCTGGGACCTGCTGAAGCGGCAACTGATAAGATCTAACCATAGGCTTTCTCCTGGGGTTCCTGTGTCTGGGCTCAGAGAGTACTGAAGTGAGGAGGGAGGTGACAGACAATAGGTGGGGTTGGTATTCATACTACCATACTATGAATAGGCCCATTTCAAGGCCTGCGGGTCTGTCTCCCATGGTACTGAAAACACAAGACATTTGGTGAGGCAGGGGCTACCAGTCTTACAGTCTCTTGATAGCTGTTAACAGTGTTGAAGACTTAGCAGCCATTGACATCTGTCTTTGTTGGACAGTGCTCTTTAGAACCTTATCATTAAAGACTGTTCAGCTGTCACCAGTCTTCTGACGTACCAACAAGGATCACTTAAGACATTAGAGGATAGTGGTCTAGGCTTAGGAACTCTGTTGTTAAGTGACGTTGAGTTGGTTCTGACTCCTACTAACCCTGCGTGGGGTTTCTGAGGAGTGGCTGTTGGGTTTTAACCCCTGACTGGTTAGCAGTCCAGGCTGTAGGATAAGTACAGTGCCACCCAAGGACTACACCTGGATTCAAATCCTAGCTCTGCTGGTCAGGAGCTGCGTGCAATCTTGAGCGCAGTATTTAATGTCTGTGAGATGGGCATTAGAGTAGTTTTTGTGAGGACAAAATGAGAAAGGCAGATAGATGCCTAGGACAGTGTCTGACATAAAACACAGATGTACGCTGCTAGTCTTATTTTTAAAGTGAGTTTTTAAGAATAATTTAGAATCTTATTTAAAGCACAACTTGGGGCTCTCTCATGAATCCCCTCCAATCTCCACTTCTGCCATTTTCCACCTCTTGTGATGGCCTTCCTTTTAATTATTTCTTTTCCTTGCTTCAGACCGGAGCTGTCTCTTTGAAATGGTTTTCATGTGAGGCAGTGATGGAGTAGATGGGGTCTCTAGGCCCTTTCACACTCATGGAACAGCAGGTAAAACATTCTCCCAGCACTCTGGGCATGAACAGCCAGCTTAAGTTAGCTCAGGGGTGCTTTGGGGTCTACCTTACATTGCTTGGTTGAGTGAATTATATTTAAATGGCAATTTGTGGCTCTGGGTTGAAACTCCATGCAGGTCTTAGAGCAGCCTTTGGCTTTGGGCATTGCCCTCCAGGTGCTACCTGGGACATCATGTGTTACAGGCTTGTGGAATTACACATGTTAGAAGGATGCTGGTGCATATCCTCCATCCTGTCTGGAGAGACCACCATGTGTAATCTGAGGACTGCTTCTGAACAAGGTTTTGGATCAGTTTTTATCAAGGGCTTTCTAACTGGGAGGTCCCCATAAGGAGTGACTCCCCTGGACATCTCACCCCACCACAGTAATCCACAGGGTCCATCTGTGTGTGGCCTTCAGGGGGGCTGAACTCGCTAAGGCATGGGGTGGATGGAATGAGCTTTGGAGGGCCTGTCCAATCTGGAACATTCCATGAACAAGCTACTGTGTCAATGCATTAGCAAAAAAGAAAACCTCTGTCTCCTGGCCAATTCCCCCTTCATTCCTACAGCATTAGAATCAAAAGGTTCGGCTGTTCCAGATTGAGTGTCGGAGGTGCAGAGTGAGCTAAGAAGAGGACTGCTGTCTGTAAAGGTTTCCTTCCAGTATCTAAGAGGGGTGAGGGAGGGAGAGACACACATTCGCAGGATGGGAAAAAGAGCATGCACAGTAGAGGAATGAGGGGTTCTGACATTTCATTTGGTTTGGATTTGATCAGGACCTGTCCACTCCTGCTCTACTGTGGTCACTCTCTGCCCACCACAAATAAAATGCCACTTCCTGGGCAGCTTCTTGGTACCCTGCTTCCTGAAGTCACCAGTATCAGCATCAACCTCATGCAGGACTCTGGTGATCTAGCCCTATGCCCTCCACCGGAGTGGGTTGTCTGTGGATCTGGGAGTACTCCCTGACCAGGCCTGGGATTTTACATAAACACTTTAAACCAAATTCGGGGTCTAGGGAAATTACCTCTTCCACCCTCTTGTCTTCTCCAGGTATTAAATGACCCCTTTGAGAACTTTAGACCCCAAAAGGCCACAGATGGAATCTAGAGCCCACCCCCCCTTCCTCCCACCACCTAAGAATGTGAAATACCAACAAACAAAAGTCTCATCCAAATTAGGAAGCAAGTGGCTCGGTCTGCCTGTGAGTGAGAGCCTTAGGGGCTGTTTTGGGTGTTTAGTTTTCCAAACCCATAATGTTATCAAGACTCTAACTGTTTTTGACCCCAAATCACAGCCCCATGCATCCCATTACTGCTTGCCATTCCCCAAACCTTAGCTCAGGGCCCATAGTTGGCTCTGGCCTCAAGTGCCCTATGGGTTGGAGGCTGAGCTGTCCATGCAGAGCTGTCAGCAGTGGTTCTGGCCCAGTAAGGAGCCACAGGTCAGGGAGGGCATGAGAAAGCTCTGCCAGACAGACGCCACTGGGACCAGACTCCTGCCCCTCACACTCCAGTACTGGGGTATATGCCTGATGCCTCGGAGGGCGGAGGACTTATTCTGTGAGTGAGGAGGGAACGGAAGCATTTCAGCCCAGACTATGGGCTATGAGCAGTCATCGACAAGACCCAAGACGGAGGCTCCCTGAGCTGACAAAGTCCCCTTCCTCCCCGTTCCTGCCCTTATTTACCTTCTTGGGAGAGGATGATGAACCTGGTGGTCTTGAGTGTCTTTCCATTTAGCGTCCAGGTGATGGTGGCTGGGGGGTCAGACGACACCTGGCACTGGAGTAGCAGTTTTTCACCCTCTGCCACATGGACATCTTGTAGCTTCTCCTTGAAGGTGGGGGCTGTCCCTTGGCTCTCTGATCTTTTTTCATTATCTGGTGCCCCTGCATGCCCCTTCTTACAGATCACATCATTCTTTATCTCCTCCTTGAGATCTTCTTTCCTGGCTGGTAATGAGGTTTCAGCTAACTTGGTGTTGCCCACTGGTTTCAGGATCTCAGCTGGCTTGGCGTTGCCCACGGATTTCAGGGTCTCGGCTGGCTTGGCGTTGTCCACGGATTTCAGAGCCTCGGTTGGCTTGGCGTTGCCCACAGATTTCAGGGTCTCGGCTGACTTGGCGTTGCCCACAGGTTTCAGGGTCTCGGCTGGCTTGGCGTTGCCCATGGGTTTCAGGGTCTCGGCTGGCTTGGCGTTGCCCATGGATTTCAGGGGCTCTGAAGGCTGTGCATTGCCCACTGGCTTGGGGCTCTCCACTCCTTTGGTGTTTGAGGCTTCGGCACCACCGCTACCATTCTCTTCTGGTAATTTTTTCTTGCTGCCCAGCACTGAACGAAAATCTGGCGTCACAGATTTTGGTGGTGGCACCTTCTCAGGCAATGGGGTCTTGGGTGTCCCCTTCTTGGCCAAGACGGAGCGGAAGTCCACCTGCTGGGGGCTATGCACCTTCCTCTCTTCTTCCGACACAGTCTTTGGCTTCACTTGCCGCTGTAGATTGGCACGGAAATCCATCTGCTCAGCCGGGATCTCCTTCAGGTCGTCTTCTGACACAGTCCTGGTACTCACCTTCTTACCTAGGAGGTCACGGAAGTCCAGCTGCTCCGCCTCCTGCTGTCGAATTGTGTCTTCGGTGTGCTGCCGTGTCTCCACGCGCCTCTTCAGCACCCCTCGCACGTCCTCACCGTCTTCTTCCTCGGGCCAACCCTGCCCTCTCGCTGGACAGCCGGGCCTCAGGGTCCCATAGCGGTCATCAGCACCACCATCAGCACCGACGACTCCACCACAGAGACCTTCACAGCTGGCAGGCTCCTTCCCCCTGCAACCAGTGAAGGGAAAAAGAAAAGTAGCCAGAGGAAAAGGGGCTGGGTAAGACAGAACCAGCAGGGGTGAGCAAATCCCTGAGGGTGGGAGGGGGGAGAAGGGGGGAGAGAAGGGGGGGCCTGGCCAGGCTGTGTTTATAGAAGGGAACGTTGGTGAGAGGAGCTCGCTTGCTTAGTTGGGTTATTACATCGGTAATGACTTCAGTAGCCTTATAAGGGTGTGTACAAAAAATAATTCACCCCCCTTCTTTTCTCCCTCCCTAGTTCCCCTCCAATCTTCCCCTCTTGGCTCTGGCAGCCTGTGGCTGGAGGATACAAACAATCTGGGGCTTTGAGGCTGGGTTTGTCTGGCCAGGAGGAGGAAGCGGGTCCAGAGAAAGGTGGAGGGGTGGGTGGGTTGGAGAAAGGGCTTCACCAGGGCTGCTCCTGGGGCACTCACCAAGAAGGGGCTCTGGCAGGGCTGGTCTGTAGCCTTAGTGACACCTGGCAGCTGCATTCCCCAACTCGGTTCCTGGAGAATTCAAGGGATCAATGAAGAGCAAGAAGCTCTCTGGCAAAGAGCCTGCTCTGCCTAGGGCTGTGGGGGACAAGGCCAGTGTGGACTTGGCTATAGGCTGGCTGCCACCAGAGAAGATGGGGGGGATCACAGGCCCAATGGTGACTCGGAGACTTGCATCCCAGACTTAGATTTTAGGTAAGGCCCTCTCACCCTTTGGTCATTCTTTGCTTTCTTAAGTCTTGTTTTAAAATTAAAAGAATCTTCTGGATGACAACGTTATCCTCCGTTTTCCTGTAAGTATATTGTATTTGACAATAAAAAGATGAAATAAGGAGAGACCTGGGGATACTCTGGTGGAGTTGTAAAGGTTGGTCTACTTGCCAGGTACCTGAGCTAGACTTCAAACTCCTCAGTACAGAGGTGGTCACTCCCTTCTGCTCCTGAAATGAAAACTCCTCTACTCTCGACTCCTACCCTATCTCTCTGCTGATGCCCTTGGATCAGAACTTTCTGTGCTAAAAACCTAACAAGTGTCTCCTGACAGGGGAGACCCTTTTTCTTCTTCTTTCAAGTAGAGAAAGCCACAGATTCTTCATGCCTGTGGGATGCACGCCACAACTCACCAAGGTTGTAGTAGATCACCCCTCCAGCCCCAAAAGACTGCCACCTAGTGGCGTGTCTGAGCTCTGGCCAGCGGGGTTGGGGTGGAGTGTGGAGGTGTCTGAGAGCAGAGGACACTTGAAGGGAACTGTTTTATGGCACCCTCCACTTTTCACAGATTTCATAACATGATCTTTCTTGTTCCTCCCGATATCACAGCGAGATATTGTTGTTAAATACTGTTGAGTCAGTTCCAATTCATAGGGACCTTGCAGAGCAGGAGTGGGGAAAATGTTTTCTATAATATCATTCATGGATCATACAACTTAAAAATTAGTCTGCTAAGTGCAAGACCACAAGGTGGGTTTGAACCACAATGTCGGCTGTTCAAGCTCACCAGCCATTCCTTGGAAATCCTATACAGGGTCACTATGAGCCAGAGCAGACCTGATGGCTTTAACAACAACAACATGATAGCTGGAACTGCGGTTGCCTTAGCTGGGCCAGCCCACCCCTACTCTATTGAGATTCTGTATAGAGTTGTTGGTGGGTTTGAACCACCATTCTTGAGGTTAGCAGTCCAGTGCTTACCCTATAGCACCACATCAGGGCAATTAAAACCATTCTAAGGAGAAGAAAAGGAGGTTGAACGGTTTTCTTGAAGGTGTGCTGGGCTGTCTGTCTCTGAGTGTTAGGGTTCACGCTCAGGCCTCTAACGAGGACATCGTATTAGTACCAAAGGGTCAGCGACAGATGTGCCAAGCTTTGTGTCAGAGTCTTTACTTGGTCCATCTCAGTCAATTTTATGACAACTCTGTGAGGTATGGGTTAGCTCTGTTTTTATATATAAGAAAAATGAGGCTTATATAGATTAAGTAATCTGCCTCAGTATAGAGCTAGGAAGGGGTTGGCATCCAAGTCTACCCAAATTCAAGCTCTGGGACTTTCTCACCTCAGCATACAGTGCTTATCAGTTCAAATTTATTTGGGGACATGTGTGGTGTTTGGCATGGCGCTGGAGGATACGCACTGGATTACTAACTGCAAGGTCAGTGGTTCAAACCTACCAGCTGTTTCTTGGATACCCTATACAGGGTTGCTATATGTCAGAGCCGACTCAGCAACACTGAACAACAACAACGTGTATAATCAGGAGAAAGGTGAGGCTGCCGGCTTCAGTAAGGATTTACCGTCTCAGAAACTCTACACAGGGTCGCTGAGTAGAAGGGGCTTGATGGCAGTGGGCAGGATTTTTGGTATGTGTATAAGAGGAGCCTGAAAGGAGCTCTGGTAGCATAGTGGCTACGAATTGGGCTGTGAACTACAAGGTCAGCAGTTCGAAACTACCAGCTGTTCCACGAGAGAAAGATTTACAGCTTCAGAAATCCTATACAGGGTCGTTATGAGTCGGAACCGACTCCACGGCACATAACAACATCGGAGGAGCCTGAAGTCCTGTTGTGGTTCTTCAGGATAAAGCGCTGGGTCGCAGGGTCAGTTTGAACTGTAAGTTTGGTGGTTCAAACTCACCATACAAGGCCGCTATGAGTTGGAACTAACTTGATAGCACATAAAAGTAACAATTATGAGGAGACTGAAGTCCTGGTATAGCATTGTAGTATAAGCCCTGGATTGCTAACCATAAAGTTGAGTGTTCAAACCCACCAGCCACTCCTTGGAAACCCTATACAGGATCACTAGGAGCCGGAACTAACTAAATGGCACATGTACCAACAACATATGAGAAGCCATGGTGGTGCAATGATTAAAGTGCTTAACTGCTAACCAAAAGGTTAGAATCCACCAGCAACTGCAGGTGAAACAGAATTGGCAATCTGCTTCTGTAAAGATCAGTCCTGGAAGCAGTGGGGGCAGTTCTACTCTGTCTAT